CATGTTATAGAAGGCAAGGCAAGGTGACAACTTTTTTAGCTTGAAACTTTTCACCAAACAAAAAAAGTTTGAGATTTTCGAGGCTATTTTTCTTTCTTTTTAAATTCCTCCTTGTGGTATGGCCTAATCTCACTTTATACCCTCAAAAAATATTTAGATTCTTAATTTATACCCTTAAATATTAAATATCTTAATTTGTACTCATAATGTTATGAATTGATAGTAATATAGACCTGACTTAGATTAACGTTCAATTTTTTTCCTATAAATTGAACCAAGTGAGATGCAAGTGCTTCAGACATAATAATGAGGTATGTAAATCGCTGCAAATTTTCACCTACAATCAATTTGCCATTGTTTTGTATATCGAAAATAAAATTTCATTAATCAAATAAAAGCTATTCCTATCATGTGCAACTCACATGACACATCAACCGTCTGTGAATTTATATACATGTCCAAAGAACTTGTAACTCACGTGCTTCAATTTAAGACGAAAAATTGAATAACAGTCTGAACGAGGTTTACACTGTTATCAATTCGTAACATTAAGAATGAAAATTGAGATTTTTAATGTTTGAGAATGTAAATTGAGAATCGAAACATCATTTGGGATGGAGAGTGAGATTAACCCTTGTGCTAACTAGAAGTTCTTCTCTTCGTTGTTGGGTTTTCTACTTCTTTTGCGCGGGTGTTTGTGTTATATTGGGACAAGGGGCTGGTGGTGGTGGTATTAATTAGAAGTTCTTTGTTTGGGGTTCTCTGGTTTTTTGGACATACTTAACTTCACCATGTGATTGTGTTCTTCTATGCACCAGTTCTGTTCTCTTCCGTTGACAAATAAGAGCTATGTTAGAGAGACTTAATTCATTATAATTATTGAATTAGTTGTAAATTCTAATAGTATACAGAGTTCACTTTTAATATTATCAACTATATTCAAATTATTTACAAATAATATTTTTTGATTGAAAAATAAATACATTGTCAAGGAAAATTCAGAATTAACTCCGTTAAAACAAAAATAAAATGATCTTAATGCCCATCATTCATTCGTTTGGGGGTCAAGATCAAATCAACATTCTAAAACTCAACCACAAACCAGCCACAACATTCTCGGCTGATTTGTTATTATTATTATTATGTTTGGGAAAGTGGATGGTTTCTTATTATTCCCATGGATCTGTACATTCAGGAGATTTGATAATCGCCTGGATCCAACCTTCAGTTTGATAAATTCTCTAACACCATGTAGAAGAGATGCCGTGAAAGGAAGGTTTGGCTGTTTTATACACTAATATTTGTTAAGCATTTAGGTTAGTTACTTAGTTATCAAGGTTTTTCAAGTTATAATACTCTGTCAGCTGGGGAGGATAAGGGTTGTTTGAAGGAAAGAGATTTGGGAACTGAGAGTTAAGAAGTCTGTGTTTGTTTCTTAGCTTTGGTTTGGCTTGGTTTTGAAGGATGGACGTTGAGAGAAAGAGAGAGCAGACTGGAAGAAAAATAAAAATTATGGATGAGAGGGTGTAGTTTGGTGTTGAATTCATACTTTCATAACTTTCCAAATGGGGAATATCTCTCTCCCTCCACGCACACACACACACACGCGCACACACACACATTTATATTGGGATTGGGACTTGCTTGGTAGGTCCGTCGGCGTGAAACTTACAAGAGGAGGTCACATATGTGTGTATATATATATATATATATATAATAAAATAGAAATGTGTTTGAATTTTATTCCAGTTATATTTTTCTCTTCAAAATCATCACCAATCAACTTATCTCACCCATCATATCTATGTCAGACTCAAACGTTAAATCACATCACTCATTTTTATAACATATTTAATCATTTACATATTGTATCCCTAAAGATATCACACAACTCATTTCTATCATATATTTAATTATTTAATATTTAATTAATTTGTAGTTAATATATTTTGAAAAAATTTATTATAGTGGGAACGATTTTTTGGACACTCGAATTTTATATTTTATCGTACCTTTAAGCACGAGTTATGACTAGTATATATATATAAATGGTGTTCCTAAGATCACCAATTGATTCATATATATATATATATATATAAAATAAAGTAGCTTACAATTCAAATCTCAAAAGATAAACAAAATGACTTTTTCTATTCGCGGTTGAAATCGTTTTAAATTTTACTTTAAAGTTAATCTAACGGTTAATATTAACATCGTAAATTTAATATGAAAAATAGACTCTTAAGGGTGTGTTTGAAGTGACTTTTTAAAAGTACTTCTTGAAATTATTTTTCATAACTATTTTTTTTTAAAAATAGTGTTTTAAACCGTCTTACTATTACTGTCACTACCGCCGTCGCCGTCGCCATTACCATCATCGCCACCATCACTATCACCCCCACCGCCGCCACCCTCACCTCACCACCACCGCTACCCCCACCCCCACCGCCACCACCTTTGTCGCCACCACCACCACCACCACCATTGTCGTTGCCGCCCATCCCACCCCCACCATTGCCACCACCACCACCACCATAGTCATTGTCACTTATCACAACTATCACTGTCTCCTATCACCACTACCACTGTCGTCTACCACTTTTTACCCCAACTACAAACCGATGCTTAAATTATTTTATCTCTTCTCTATGTTTGTAATTTAATTTTGGATATGAATACAAATATATTTATTATTTTTTATTTTTTATTACTATGTGACTTCAAGCACAGTCAATAACTAGTATATATAATAAAGTAGTTTACAATTCAAATCTCAAAATATAAACAAAATAATTTTTGCTATTCGCAGTTGAAATTGTTTTAAATTTTACTTTAAAGTTAATCTCACGGCTAATATTAACACCTAAATTTAATAGAAAAAATAGGGTCTTAAAGGTGTGTTTGGAGTAAATTTTTAAAAGTACTTTTAGAAATTATTTCTCATAAATTTTTTTATTTTAAAAAATAGTGTTTGAAACCGTCTCACCATTACCTCTACCACCACCGCTATTGCCGTCACCACCACTGTCGTCGTCGCCACCACCATCACCATCACCCCCACTGCTAACACGGTCATTGCCCACTTAACACAACTATCATCATCTCTTACTATGACCACTGCTACCCACCATCTCTCACCCTCACTACAAATCGATGTTTAAATTTCTTTATCTCTTCTCTATATTTGTGATTTGATTTTGAATATGAATACAAATATATTTATTATTTATTATTTTTTATTACTCTGTGCCTTCAGACATAGATAATGAACTCAAATTATGATTTTTGCATCAATTAAATTATTAAACTTTTTTTATATCAATTGAACTTCTGAACTCTCTTATTGTTGCCCTTTTATTTATCTCTTTTATGATCTGTTTGATATGATGAAAAAATAGAAAGATGAAAAGTTAAAAGAATGAAAAGTTAGAGGAATAAATAAAATATCATATTTGGTAAGGAAGAAAAATAGGAAAGATGAAAAAATGGATGGATTAGTTTTCTTTCCAACTCACCAAAATCAATCCCTCAAAATCGAAAAAAAAGTGGATGAAAAGTTAATTGTTTGTGTTGAGATGTTAATTATTTGTTTGTATATTATGTATACACTATATATATATATAATTGATAAAATTATTTTTTTTCACCTTAACTAGGGGTGAAAATTTTCGACTCAAAACAATGACACGACTCGAAATCGATACGAATTTTGTGATATGAACTTGATTATAACTCGACACAAATTTGAAAATAACCTAACACACGAGCAAGAAATATAAAAGGCTTATAATTTTATGACTCAACATGAATCTGACACGACATGACTGGATTGTCACCCCTAATCTTAGCCAGCACAAAAAAAAATTAGTGATTTTTATTTTCTATTTATTCAATCAAACACAAAGGAAGGAAATTGTATTATTCATACTTTTCTTCCTTGAAGGATAAAAAGTGTATCTCTTTTATGTTTCATACTTCCTATTTTCTATCCATCTTACCAAATGAAGCATTAGATTTTTTAATAGAAAGTGACGAAGTGTATTATTCACGTGACACAAATGATTAGAGTAAATTAAACATATGGTTCTCAAACTATGACGCGTATATTAATTTAGCTCTTGAGCCTTTTTTTGTGTCAAGTGAGTCCCTAAATTCTCTAATTGTGTCTATTGAATCGTTTTGTGTTATGAAAAATGCTATTTGGACCTAATTTTGGGACCTAATTTAGAGACCTAATTCAATACAACTATGAATTGGTTGTAGACTCCATCTAACATTAGAACTCACAACTAATCTAATGGCTGCACTGAAGCCATATCATTAGGTCCCCAAATTAGGTTCCTATAACATTGTTCTTTGTGTTATATAGTCACGTGAATAACACATTTTAACGGAGGTAGACAAAATGACTCAATTGATATAATTAGAAAGTTTAGGGACACAATTAATATAAAAAAATCAGTAATGCTAGACTGACTAAATTTTGGGACCAAATTTAGAACTCAAATGACGTGGCAGCTGATTATTTAGAGTTTTTATTGGGACTCAAATGATATGACATCAATGAAAGAAGCTCAAGTCAACTGCCATGTCATTTGAGCTTCAAATTTGATCCAAAAATTTGGTCAATGTAACATTATTTTAAAAAAAATTTAAAAAGTTAATTGACATAAAAGTCATAGAGGATGATATGTCTAGGTTACCCAATTTTTTATTTATTTCCTATTTCCAGAAGAGAAAAAAAGGGGCGCCAATTCCACATGGATCATGAAGAAGTCTCTCCACCCAAAAAAGCACTCAACATCACACGAGTCTCACAAGAAAACTCATCAGTTTTGTACAAATTAAATGGATTGAAGATATTGATTGAAACCGATTTATGTATATAGCTTACCAACTGCCTTGCATAATTAGAACCTGAGGGCCATTGTCTGAAAAAAAAAATCAGCTACAGCCTACAAAAGATTGCTTCTTCTTCCCATTTTTTGTGAGAGAGAGAGATGGGATCGGAAGCAGTACTCGATCGGAATTCCTCACCGACACTTCCGCTGTTCTCATTTCAACCCATGCAGTCACCAGAGCACTCAGGGATGCTAACGCCACTCCACACGTTAGCTTCGGTTCCGTTCCGGTGGGAGGAAGAGCCTGGTAAGCCACGACCACCCTGCAGCACCACCACCCACATCACTGTCCATCCCAACAACAAGGGACCCAAGTGCTTAAAGCTACCTCCAAGGCTGTTGTTTAAGGCCAAGAGTATTAAAAATATACACTCGCCCACAACTGTCCTTGACAAAACCAATATCTCTGCTGCACCTTCATTCAGAATTATAAGTAAGCGTGAGTTGTGTTTGGACAGTAAGAATATGGGTCATGAGAGAGGGCAGACTGGTACAATGATTCTCGGCAAGAAATTATATAAAGAGACCAAGAGCAGAGGATTGTTTGGTTCTTGGGGCCAAAAGAACCCTAAACTTGAGGATGATGGTAAAAAGAGAGTTGGTGGGGGTTGTTTTGTCTTTCCATCTTCCATGGACATAGCAGGTTGCGATGATGGCGAGACTGGCGGCGGTACAAGGATGAAGATGGCTAGGATTATAGGGAATGGAAGCTGTTCCCCTCTCTCTCATGCAAAATCTCAATTCCGGGTAACTTCTCTACATCCACTAAAATTTTAACCAAATTGTGAATTACAAGTAGGTAGGTTCCACAAACTTTTATTACTTGCCTAATGACCATCAATTGTCTAGTCATTTGGAATCCAAAGTTCCATCTTTTATCTCTCTTCCTATTCACTCAGGAGCAATGTTAGTGCAAGATAATTGAGGAACATAATTTAAGAATACAATGAATTGTAATTAATAGATGATAGTGGAAAGTATTTAATATTGATATAGACCCTATTATCAGATACATTTTACTATCATATATTGATCATAATTCATTATGTTTTTAAATTATATCACTCAATTATGTCTCAATGACATTAGTGTACAATCTTTTGTTGGAAAATGCTAAATAGACTTTTAAAAGTTGACTTAAAATTTTGATTTGATGAATTATCACTATTAAATAGGTAGTGCGTTTCAATAAATATTGAGTATTACAGTTCAATCAATGATAAATATAATAACTACATCATCAAACCAAAATTTTAAATGTGTACCATTACTCGTCTTTTGACTAATGCTATCTAGGCTAAGCTGAACTAAGAGCGCTTGAGCCTTGATAAATTGACCTACATTATTAGGAAACTAGGGTAATTTATGTTTGAAGAACGGTACAATATAAATAATTTTGAGAGTGATGTTACAAATCGTTGGATAAATTTAATTGACGATAATTTATTGGAATTTGCCCTATTTCACTCATTCTTATTTAAAATTCAAGCTAAATCATTTAGTCAACGGTGTTTGCCCTGGATGATACTCGTATATAAGTTCCTCGTGCAGAGGTATTGACCCATCCCATAGGATTTTTAAAAAATTTTCTCAAATAATAATTAATTTTAAAATAATTCTCAAACTCACGATGTTTTAAAAACATCAATCCGTTAGACATTTTTAAATTTTTTTTCTTCAGTACAGTGTCTTAAAGAAACGTCGGACTGACTTTTTTTTAAAGACGTCAGTCCAACCGACGCGGTTAACTTCTTTATTTTGTTGCCTGCAAAGCTATTTCATTCGCTGGCTGCCAAAAAGTCAGTCCACCAAAATGTAATATTTAACATGTCAAAAAAGAAGTCAATTCCTTCTTTGCCAAAAAATCAAGCAACATGTAATATTTAACACATTACTCCACCAACTTTATTGAAAATTAAAAATGGGCTACTTCTTTTTTTTTTTCTCCTTCTTTCCAAAAAGTCACGTGATTTGCTTATAACTCCACTTAATTTTGATAATTATCATAAGTGACTCCTAAATTTTTTCTCGGGTTTTAATGTAGTCCGTAAAATTTTAATTCTTTTAATTTAATCCATCAATTATAAATTTTCTTTCAATTAAATCTTTCCATTAATTTTAATAGTCAGATGAAGTGGAGAATAGCACAATTTTTTTTTTTTTGAAATTGATAATTGAGAGACTAAAATAAGACAAGTTTAATTTAATCGTCAGATGAAGTGTTGTAATATTTACATTTTCGTCGCCGTACTTGTTTTTGCAATATGTTTATGTATTATGTTTCTATATTTGGTTTCTAGGAAATATAGTGTATTACTCCAGTTTGTAATTAATGTCCATCTAAATTTCAATAAGGCAGTAAAGACATAACATGATATGAAACGATGAACACAAACAAATTTTATATACAAAAATAATATTTACAAATTCTATACAAAAAATTTAAAAAAAATAGACTATGTCCCACAAAGTGGTGGTCTCCTCTATCGCTTGGGCCGCTGACCATCAGGCAGAGGCCATAAGTTCCGCCCACATAAGCAGTAATCAGGTAGAGTAGCCAACACATCAGCGGTGAATGACTGCTATATGATCTGCAGTCAAAAAAAAAAAATCAATTTTTTTAGATGTACCCAAAAAATAAAAATTTCGGCAAAATTTCCCCTATATGTATGACACCAATTTTTTTTTCAAAATCACCTGTTGCATAATATATTGCATAATACATCCAACTACCAATCATACCAATAAAAACCACCAACAACTAACAAAAACCAACAACAACACATCCAACAACAATCAACAATTACCAATCATACAACACATCCAATAACAACCAACAACATCTAGTAGTTTAAAAAACAATATAGAGTTCCGCTTGTATACTTGATCAGCGTGCATCTGATCCAGAGTTTCAGAAGGATAAAACTATTTTTTGAAAGGAAAAAACACTAGGAATTGTTTTACGTTATTAAAATTTCTGAAGTATTTCATTTTTAATTTAATTAAACTGTTTCAGTTTTCATTTTCATTATAAAAATCATCATTGTTATAGACCATGCATTATAAATTGTGATGGAAGATTGTGCCAAGGGTTTTCCTCAGGCTCGGATTTTGCAGGTGATTAAATGATTGACATTTTAGTCCTGCGCTAAATTTTTTGGTTTTTGATTGATAAAATTCCAATTAGAAAGATTTATCACAAATAGAACTGAATTTGGTATTGAGGGTTCCATTCTAATTTTCAATGTTAGTGAAATGGTCTGGAGTTCATCTACATTCGATTTGAAAAGATCCATTAGATTCTTATGACTCACAATTCCTGTGTGGTGGTCGCTTGTAGAATCATACCAATCTTAAGCTATAGACAATTGTAGAACCTTACCTCTGTTGGACGAGCAGGTGGTTGTCGCTTGGTGCTGGTGGTCGCTGGGTGGTGGTGGTCCTCGATGGTGGTGCTTGGATTTGGGCCTTCGATCGTTGGGTGGTGATTGGGTAGTGCTGGGTGGGCCTGGGTGGTGCTGCACTGGTGGTGGTGGTTCTGCAACTGTGGTTGTTCGAGGAGGGCAGTCGGTTTTGGGGGAAGAAGCCGATTAAGCGTGGGTAGCAACTCAGATTAGATAACTTGGAGGAAATAAAGGAAAACGAAAAAAGAAGAGGGAATCAGGATATTTCAACTTAAAAACGTCAAATGAACTGACGTTTTTAAATAATTGCATCAGTCCATCTAACGTATTTAAGTTGAATGTAGGTCACAATCTTCGTGTTAACAATGTCAAATAGACTGACGTTTTTAAGTTAAAGACGTCAGTGCATTTGACCTTTTTAAAACAATGTGGGTTTGAAAATTATTTTGAAACTAACCATTATTTGGAAAAAAAAATTAAAAACTCCGTAGGATGGGTCAAAACCTCCCTATTCGCAAGCAGTAGCACCGGAGTCTTACCATCGGAAGGCCAAATGTCGGCCAGCCCCCCAAACAATTTAAAACGTATATTGGTTTTCTTTTTCTTATTATTTACCCGTTGTTGATATTACAGGCAGCTGCATATGAGGTCTTTAAGAAAGTCATTTCATGGAGAAGAAAATCGAACAAAGATGGGTTTTCCATATAAAACCTCTTCGCTATTTTGGGGTCGCCAAGTCAACCACCACCCGGCTTCACTTTGGGCAGTCCTCTTGAAGTTTTTCTGTGATAGACTCCGATGCCAGTGTCCATAGCTTGATTTTGACTCGATTCAGCCTGTATGGTACAGCAGTTATTCTCTTTTCTCCCAATAATAAGAATCGAATTATGTTCGTGTATCTATTAGAACTATATGTTGTCTAATAAATAATACACATTTTCTTCTACTAGCCGAAGCATAATGATACAGTAATCTGCACCAAGGTACAAATAAACATACTGAAATTCTTCATACTAGCATTCAGATTAACACAAGCAAAACTGGTGGTCTGGCTGGCCCCCAAATCACAGACAAGGCACAGGCCACAGATTTAGACAACATATAGGCATATAGCACAATGTAGAAGCCATCCCACAGTCAAAAAGATAAATTTCATTGATTTTCGATTGCAGGTTCAACCTAACCATTCGTACTCTTACACAAAAAAAAAGAGATGTTCAGTTGCAGTACCTCAATAGATTACCATAAAAAAAAACTTTGAAATCTTATTTCCATGTGGATCACAATTGAAGGGTAACAAGTGTGGCGAGCGAATTAGTTTACAAAACGATTAATCTACCATCCATGTTACCCCTATTTTTTACCAGTCATACCAACAACCACCTGCAAACACACAAAACAAACGATCAGTTCAATTAAGGCACTGGGGCACTGACATGCCTTTAAAGTGAAAAGCAGCACTAGAAATTTACTGCAATTAACTTTTTGACATGCTAAACAACCATGAAGACCCCTTCTGGGATAAGTATGTGGCTATTACAATTTAGTACTTCCCAATCCTGCTATATTATCGCCATGAAGACCCCTTCTGGGGATAAGTATGTGGCTATTACAGTTTAGTATTCTCAATCCTGCTATATTATCGCCAAAATCTAAAACCGCACAAAATTTGATGGATCCAATGACAAGTAGATTGACTGCAAAATAAGTCGTTCAAACGGATGCTATTCACCACCCAATAACCATCAAATCTTGGAAGACTGAAAGCACCTAGTGGAAGACATGGGAAAAAAATTAGATAGTGGATAAAGGTTTGTAGCTTCCAACTGGTTGGAATAAGTCTTAGGGCAGTAAACGAACCGATTGTGACCCATCAGACGATGGGACCAAATCCTGTCTTGGATATTAATGGGTCCAAGTGATTAGTCCAAATATGTAGAACTAGCACCCTTACTGAAAAAAATAGACTCCTTGTAAGGATTCAAAAGTTAATGTATTTGTCCCTAAGCCGTAAATATTAGTGGTAATGCTCCATTTGGTAGCTGGAAATGTAAAGTAAAGACAGATCTTACAGGTGCTAAGATTTAAATGTTAGGTATTATGCCCCAAAATTTACCCCCACAGTCTTCCCTAGCAAATGAACCATAAATGAATTTTATTTTATTTCAAAAAAAAAATCCACAATAAATAACAATGGCATAATTACATAAGCAGTCATCTACAATATCAAATCCATAAAATGTCCCATATTCCAACCTTTTTGCCACTCTCATTGGCACCTTCTTTGAAAATCAATATGCAGAATTTATGATATTGTTCCTTACTTCACATTTTGCCCACGATTATGCTTCAATGTTATATATTACATTTAACTTCTAACGCATGTGCAACAAGAAGCATCAAATGTAGACTCAAACCCATACGGTCCAAAACCCATTCCAATTTCGTGAGGTTTTTCGTCAGTGGCACAACTATAGACAAATTCAGATCCAGAATAAGTTATAAGTGTGTTTGAGTTTGAGTTTGCGTGTTGGAATTAGAAGGGATTAGATGGAGCATTAGTAGGCATGTATCCAATTCTTTCTATGCCTTGTACAAATTGAAAAACCACACACAATAGTTCATCAGAAAGCAAAACATAAATCTAATTGAACGTACAAATCTACAATTGCCTGATTAGGGTTTTTAGACAACGAAGCTAGAGAGCATATGCATATATGTATAGAAGTGAAGCACCGACACCAGCGATAAGGCAAGAAGCTGCAACCACAGGTTCTTGCACAACGAACATCTTCAGCTTCTCAATCACCGCCATCCTCATCTTCCTCTTTGTTTTTTAATTTTGTGGATTTGGTATCTCTCCGTCCCTTGATGATGGATGGAGAACTTAAAAACGGACCCTCCTGTACGATAGTCTCTAGCTATAGAAATGCAATTTCGGGCTCCGGATCCGTTAGTGCCCTTGGTTCGGGTGAGACAGGGTAGCAGTTAGATGGGATTGAAATTTTAATTAGTGTTAATCGCAAATTGCGTTTTAAAATATTGTTCGAATCTTAATTTATACTATCAAAGATAAAAAATTATAATTTATATCCTCAAAAATAAAAATTTGTATCAATGTGCACTTGAAATTAACAGCTATCAGTTTATCTTCTAAAATTAAATAGATAAATTACACATAGATTACCTTATGTTTGTCACTTGATCATTTAAACTTCTTACATTTAAAATATTTACTTTTATACCTCCTGACGTTTGTGCACGTATTACACATAACTTCTAATCATTGATATCCGTTAATATAACTATTAAAAAATATGATTTCATCATAATAAAAAATTATAATTTTTATTATACCTTTTATTTTGTGAGTTTATTATACTTTAAAGTTTAAAATCAACTTTACCATTTGAATGTCCAATATAATATAGGTATTTATATAATATTCTTTATATTTAATGCAATACATCACTTAAATAAAATTATTTAAATACCTAATTGTAGGAACATTTTTTGTTATATTTAGATTCTAAAGAGACGTAGGTGTAATATTTCAAATGTGAGGTCTAGGTGATTTTAAGTGACAAGTATGAGAAAATTTAAGTATAATTTATCTATTTAGTTTTAGACGTCAAACTAATTGTTGTTAGTTTGATGTGCGCATTAATATATATTTTTTATGTTTGATAGTGTAAATTAAATTTTTTTTATCTTTGAGGGTGTAAATTGAGATTCAAACAATCTTTTAGGATGCAATTTAAGATTAACCTTTTAATTTAATAAAAAATTTAATTATTTTTTATCTCTTTGTTCTTTTGATGAAAAATATCTTATCTAGGTGATATTTAAAATTATGCACGTTACGTTCTTTACTGATGTATCAAAGTAAAATGATTATTTTTATCATTCAAATTAATGAAGAGTGTGCAACACATGCAAAACATTTTCGTGAGCTGTATTTTTATTATTTTCCTCTAAAAGAATATTGTCTAAATGGCTAAAATACTCTTTATAAGTGTAATATCTAAATAGGTAAGATATCGATCCCAAATCAAACAACTTGTAAAAACAACATAAGTAATTTTCGACCCCAAATTAAAACTTCACTTGGGAAAAAGAAACTCAATATGTTTGATTGAAATATGCTGGTTTATTGTCATGTTCATTAGTTTTATGGTCAAGAGTAAATCAAAAAAAAAAATTTAATTTTAAAACGTGGTATTATGACAATTTTTTTTGTTAATGACATCAATTACTTCATTTTGGTATATAATTAATTATAAAAAGATAATGTGCATAATTTTAAATGTCAAGCAAATAAAGTGTTTCTACTCAAAATCAAAATGAATAAAAAGCAATTAAATCTAAATAAAAATATAATCAAGAATTTATAAATCTAGCTTGTGTGCAACGCCGTGAGTTGGGCCACCCTTCTTCTAATTACGTACGGAGGGAAATCGAAAAAATGCCTAGTACGTGAGAAGGCACTGGCTGTTCCTTTGGGGCTGTTACTAGCAGCAGCGGCCAGCACTAATACCTCCCCGATAACTTAATGGTACTACTCGTATACGGGACCATCACACTCAAATAAATCCATAAGCAGACAAATCCAACTTATACTGTTTTATTGCCAATCCTACCCTCTACCAAGTTGAAGCTCCTCCCTCACTGCCGTTGGAGAAAATATTTATTCCAAAAGTGATATCAAGTTATTGTGAACCACGTTAGCCTCTCTACTTGGTGGTAACATAACGAGTGAGAAAATGATTCTCTTATATTTCACTAATTATCTCTTTATGTCATTGGACAATCATTTTATATAAAAAAAATTAGTTATTGCTTGTGCCCAAAGGCACATAATAATAAAAAAATGATAAACTAATATATTTGTATTCATATCTAAAATAAAAATTACAAACATAGAGAATAGATAAAGGAATTTAAACATCGATTTATAATAGGGGTGAGAAGTAGTGGGCAAGAGTGGTGATGGTAGGAGACGATAATGGTTGTAGAGGGTGACAATGATCGTGGCGGTGGTGGTAGCGACGAGATCGACGATGATGGTGGTGGTAGTGACATCGACGGAGGTGGTGGTGGAGGCAGTGGCGATTGCGACGACGACAACGATAGTGGTGGTGATAGAAGTAGTGGTGAGGCGGTTTCAAATATTATTTTTTTTAAAAGTATTTATGAGAAATAGTTTGTAGAAGTATTTGTAAAAAGTCACTTCAAATACACTATTAGGGTCATATTTTTCCTATTAAATTTAGGATATTAATATTAATCGTTAAATTGACTTTAAAGTAAAATTTAAAGTGATCTTAATCGCGAATAATAAAAATTATTTTATTTATTTTTTAAAATTTAAATTATAAACTATTTTATTATATATATATAATTTATTTTTTATTTAATTATATTTTTAATAGATTGTGACCTCACGTGATATTAATAGTGTAGTGTGACTAACGAATTTTTCTTAACAATTAATCTCAAGTAAATAATAGTTATAACCACTACGTCATATTAATATTGTCACGTAATGTTACCTTTCCGTGATAATTTATACTAGGTTCTCCACTAAATCCCGCTGTGGCATATCTGTAAATATAAATGATATGACACGGGTAGAGTGAGAATTCACAACCAACGCTCAGTCTCTTCGAATTCCCACGTTAACCGCCATATACACGCCATTGCTTTCATGCCTTCACCACTCCCACTCAATACTTTCTTGCTTCTTGGATCTCTCTCTCTCTGTGGTCCGCAGAGTTATTCACTTTGTATCTCTGTAATGGATTTCGTCAGCCACACCGAAATGCCGGAAAATCTCACCGGGAAAAACACTCCGCCGGAAACAACCGATTCAAAGGATATTATCTCAGAAAACGAGAAAGAAGTGAACGATTTATCTGCTGCTGTTGATGTCTCTCCGAGTCTTCACCTAAACCACAGCAACAAGGCTCCGATTTCTCCGAGTCAGATTTCACCGACTGACTCGGAGAAATTTCTTGTTTCTTCGACCGAGAATGATTGCACAGAGGGGGAGAAGGTGAAAAAGTCTGTAAGAATGAAGAATAATGGTGAGGACGAGTCTGATGCTGCTATGCCTCGAACAACGCCGTGTTTGAAGACTTGTCCAAGCGTTGGTGCGAGTCTTGAGAAGTTTCTCGATCCTATGGTGAGTAATGGAGAGAATATTACTGGTTCTTCGGCAGTGATGGACGAAGCGTGGGAGAGACTCAAGAATTCGTACGTTTACTGCAGAGATAAGGCCGTTGGAACCCTTGCGGCTTCAGATACGAATGCCGAGGCTTTGAATTACAATCAGGTATATCCATATTTTAGTGTGTTTTTTTCTGCGTTTGTTTGTGTGTGTGTGAGAGAGAGAGAGAGAGAGAGAGAGCATACTGCAATATAGTTTGAGGATGATTGTCATATGTTCTTGAAATTCCGTTTTGTATTTGTCCGATATGAGTATAGTTGGAGGAGGATTAGTTCTCGATCTTTCACCATATATCTTGATATATGTTCTCAGCGAAATATCCATGGATATCTCTGTGTGTTCCTGTTTTCTCTGTGTGATGCTGAATACGTCAATTGAAGAATGAGTTACGCTTGATTCTGCATCTTGATCTTCATTCTGCTTGCTGTTCTCTCTCTCTCTCTCTCCAGGTGTTATCTTGATTTTCTCTGCAGTATTTGTGATTGTTAATCTATTTTTTAATATTGGTTGCAGAAGATGTATGAATGATTTTTCATTCGGTTTGTTAAAATGTGCATATATAAGGGTAATACAATTGGGATCAGTTAATCTGACTTTGCTATCCTAATGATGTATCCATTTCTTTTGAGTTCTGAGATGCAACTCGTGATGCATAGAGTTGATGATAGTGAAGAGTTCTTTTGTTAAAACATTGCTAGAAGTGCCTTGGCTTCTTAGTTATTACTACCTTCACCTTGGCTATAGATTTAGTAAAATACTATTTGTACTCAATTTGAGGATTTAATCCATTACTTGAATTGAAAATAGGTCCCATTAGACATTGAAACACTCTGTAATCTAATGGCTATTAGGTCGATGTGGCTTGCTTTAATTTTGAATGGATGCACCTTTACCTGCCTTTATTGCTACTTAGATTTCATCTGACTAATTTTTATGGGCAGGTGTTTGTGAGAGACTTTGTTCCTTGTGGCTTAGCATGCCTAATGAAAACTCCAGCCGAACCTGAGATTGTGAAAAACTTCCTGTTACAGACCCTCCACCTCCAAGGCAGGGAGAAGAGGATTGATAACTTTACTCTTGCAGAAGGTGTGATGCCTGCCAGTTTCAAGGTGCTAAATGACTCAAAGCGCAAGAACGATATTTTGGCTGCTGATTTTGGTGGCATTGCAATTGGAAGAGTTGCACCTGTTGATTCAGGATTCTGGTGGATCATTTTGCTAAGGTCTTACACAAAATGCACACGAGATCATTCTCTATCGGAATTACCTGAAGTGCAGAGAGGAATGAAGTTGATACTCGATCTTTGCCTGTCTGATGGCTTTGACACATTTCCAACCCTCTTATGTGCAGATGGGTGTAGCATGATTGACAGGAGGATGGTAAGTTTTCCCTCCCCTGTTTCATCCTTTCCAACATCTCAAGGGGAACCAAGGGTGGATACCATGTAGAACGTACGTGCACTCAATGTGAGAGTCTAATTGACCAACCTACATGCATTGGCAAATCTGACATATGGACGTCCTAACTTTAGTGATTATCCATTTGAACTGGTTTTGGCCTTCCTTGTTTCCACATTATTAACTGAGCTTAAGTAGATGCCGTTTATATGTGAGCTTTGAGAAATTTAAACGATCTCTCCCAATTAAAACCGGCAATTAATGAAATATCCAGTTTGTCAACTGTCTATATTTGTTAACCTCATTGCACAGGGTGGTGTTTTCATCTTAAGGAGAAATGAAATCCAGTCAGATCTTGTATCTTTTATTCCAATTGATTGCAGCATGTCCTTGTTCTGAGCTGTGTGAGCTTTAAGTGTTTTGAGTGAGTCGGGACTTGGTAGTCAAACAGGCTGTTCTCTACTGGAGATGTTAGGTTTGGTCCAAACTTGTACTTTTAACTACGTAGAGGATTTCAATAAAACTACGACTACTGCATTTATAATATCATTGGCTTGCTTTTGGATCAGGGAATATATGGCTATCCAATTGAGATCCAGGCGCTCTTCTTTTTTGCGCTAAGGTCAGCACAACAGATGCTAAAACCAGAGCGAGATGGGAAGGAGTTGATTGAGCGGATTGACAAGCGGATTGCTGCTCTCAGTTATCACATCCAAAACTATTACTGGCTTGACTTTACGCAACTGAATAACATTTACCGTTACAAAACTGAGGAATACTCCCACACGGCTGTAAACAAGTTCAATGTCATCCCTGAATCTATCCCAGACTGGCTGTTCGAATTCATGCCATTGCGCGGGGGATATTTGATTGGCAATGTCAGCCCTGCTCGCATGGACTTCAGGTGGTTCCTAGTTGGGAACTGTATTGCTATCTTGAGCTCTTTAGTCACACCAGTACAAGCTACAGCCATTATGGATTTAATTGAGGAGCGCTGGGCTGACTTGATTGGGGAGATGCCTCTGAAAATTGCATACCCAGCTCTGGAAGGCCACCAGTGGAGGATTGTCACCGGATGTGACCCAAAGAACACACGCTGGAGTTATCATAATGGTGGATCTTGGCCAGGTGAGTCCATGTGCATTGTGCGATTTCATGTTAGTATTCTTGCACCTTATTTATGCTGTCGGGCACTATCTGTTGATTCTGGATCAAAAAAAGAGGTCATTGTAATAACCAATGAGTGGGAGATTTAGCTCCCATGCCCACTTAATTTACAATGTAAGGAAATACTATTGGACTGTCGAACCACTTATTTTTCAGCAACTATTTTTGAATAACCTTGAGCTCTAGGAAACTTTATTCGCTTTATATGGTCAATCTTACCAGAATTCTGGCTGAGAATGTCAGCATTTCTATGGAAATGTTGGTTTGTGGTTCTGTTTGTAATGATAATTAAAAGCAGTTGTTGGTGCACTAACTTACACTAGAGTACTTATACATCAGTAAGAATGCTAAGAAAAGAATGTTTCACCAAGTATTCTTTTAAGAAGGCATGGTGGCACTGCAAGTCTGCAGGTGCTTGAAATGTGAATTCATCCCTGGATCGATGGTTTTCTGAATTACATTTATTAGTATGTGTGGCTCATATTTGCTGTGTGCATAATGGCAAGGAGGCAGATGCCGGAGCGGAGCTCGCGACGGCATCTGCCTTGCGGGATTTATATAAAGGGGACGCTGATTAGTTGGGGGTGCGGGGGCAACGCCCCCGCGGTACGGTACAGGGGTATTTTTGTAAATACGTCCATATTAGGGTTATATAAATACTTAAGATGTAACCCTATTTAATAATGAAAAAGAACGGCCGCTCGCTCTCGTGGATGTAGGCACATTGCCGAACCACGTAAATCTCTGTGTGTTATTTTCTCCTACTTTCTTAATTGTTTGATTCCTTACTATTCACCATAATTGCTGCACGATCACAACAACATTCCAGTCTTTGATGTTCTTATAATCCTCATGTTATTTTACTAATGTTGTTTGCTTAATCCTCACTAATTCTTATTCGAGACAAACTTGATTAATCATTTTTGTATCATGAAATCACAACCGAAAATGGGAAATGCTGCTTCTTTATTTTTTTAAATGAGAATAATGTCGTAGGTAACGATATGTAGTGCTGGTGTGGTTTGTTTTTGTAGTTCTGCTATGGCTACTGACAGCAGCCTGCATCAAAACTGGAAGGCCACAAATTGCAAAGAGAGCAATAGAAGTAGTGGAGCAGCGCCTCCCCAAAGATGGGTGGCCTGAGTACTATGATGGTAAGACTGGGTGTTACATTGGGAAGCAAGCAAGGAAGTACCAGACATGGACTATTGCAGGGTATTTGGTTGCAAAACTCATGATAGAGAACCCATCCAACCTCGTCATGATCTCTCTTGAAGAGGACAAAAAGATAGCGAAGCCAAGGCTTACACGCTCCACCTCGTGGACCTGTTAGATTCTTCTGAAGGTACTCTATTTTTTGGAGAAGTGGACATTGCAAGGCTGAGCCAGGTAAATCAGTTTGATCGGATGTTAGATTTTTTGCTAAGGCTGGTATATCTATACTTAAAACACATTCTTACTGTTTGTGGGCAATACTTTTGCTCTAGCCTCAAAAATTTCCATGGTAGAAAACATGATCAACTCTGCTTTTTGGCACTTAGTTTTGGTGGTTGATTGCTACAACATTAGAAATACAATTCGTAAAATTGCAAATTTCATAGAAAAGAATATTGTTTTCTTTTCGCAATAGATTTTTGGGTTTGTATTTTTTATTCCTAAAACTTTTGATGTTATTCTTTCGATGAAATCAACCGTTGTGGTTTTTGATTGGGTCTTGTACCAAATACTCTGATATGATTACTCAATTGCCTTATAATAATGGAATTAACAACCATAGACCACTAAAGTATAATTGGTGAGTTGGATGATTTTGTCTATAGACTAGTTTAGGATTTTGAGGAAAAACAGCATGTTACGCTAGTTTGATTGTGACATTGGACTACTGGTTTGGTCTTTGTGTTGCATTCTTAAATAAAGATAATGACCCAATATGCATCATAGTGGCTAAGGGCTTGTACAAATACAGTTTGAATGAAGATTCAACCCTTCAGGCAATTGACCAAAAGTTAGAAATGTAGCTGAGTGGACGTGGTTTGATTGCGCTTTCTACTTGATTCCGAGTTTACTATTTTTCTTATTTCTATTTAATACAATTTGTTCTGTGAGATAATGCTTGTCACATATTGTTGTTGTTATGCAATGTTTACAGGGGAAAGAGGTTAAAGTTTTAAATTAAAAAATTCTAAACTTAAGCTAAAGGAAAAAAAATTCTAAAGCACATTTAGCAAATTGGGGAATCATATCACCACAAATTGGCTCATTCCCTAAACAACACCCTTTCCCCTAGAAAACTCAACCGGCTTCAAGGGTTGGCAGAGTATGTGTACTGACTACATAACTTTATTATTCCCCCACCTTAAATCGTTCCGAGTAATTTTTGTGATCTCTGTCAATTTTTTCTCAGGAAAATTTGCAATAAAGACAACATCATCTAGTAATTTTCAGCATTGAACATTCTTACAAATTTAAATAGATGCTAAACAATCTGTTTGAGGATTGTCTGAAAATTTAGTGGTCGACATTTCATCTCAAAATTCTACATTAATGGACCACAAACCTGAATTAAGATTTAATCTTCTTTTTTTTTTTTTTGGTAAGGCTATAAAACACAATGGTTTAACATCAAGACAGGTGTTAGATTGACAGGAAGTTGAAATGTAATGGACGGTGAAGCTTGAACATGATAACTTTTTATTTTTATTCTCCGTTTGATAGGAAGGATGAAAAGTAAAAATGATACATTTTTTTTCTTTTGTGTTTGGTTAGATGGATGAAAAATAAAAATAACTATTTTTTTTAAAAAAAAAATTTTGTGGTGACTAAGGTTAGGGGTGACAATCGAGTCGAGTCGTGTCGCGTCAGATTCATGCTAAATCATTACGAGTTTGTGTCGAATATTAGTCAAACTTAATTTAACTCATTTATTTAATTGTGTCGTATCGAATTGCGAGTTGACCTGTTTATTTTCGTATCAAATTTGAGTCGGGTCATCGTGTTGAGTTTAAAATTTTCACCCTTAGTTAAAGTGTAAAAAATATTTTTTTTAAATTTAAATTTTTTATTTTTTATTTTTTTTATTTTTTAAAAATTTTATTTTGAAAATTTTTTAAAATATATATACATGTTTTATCATTGTATTTTTATATGAAATTAATGTATACATAAGATATATATACAAATAAGATACATCTCAACACAAATAATTAATCTTTCATCTACTTTCTTTCTGATTTTGGAGACATTAATTTTGGTGAATTGAAAGGAAAGTTAATACATCTACTTTTTCATCTTTTTTACTTTCCTTCCTTACCAAATATGATTTTTTTTTTTATCCCTTCAATTTTTTATCCTCCCACTTTTTCATCGTACCAAACGGAGCATCAATGTTTTTATTTGTTTGTTTTGAGAAAAATATATATTTTTAAAAAATTATTTATTTAAACTAATAAATTAAATTAAAATTTTAAGTCGGAATAACATTTTTTTTCCGGCAATCAATATTCCGTTACAAACAAGAAACTTTAGGCGGACAGATGCCCTTTAATGTCCTTTTCCAAGCCATCCCAATCTCTAACTCCTCTATCCCAATCTCTCGTGAAGGCCTCTTCAACCAAGAAAACAGCGAGCTTCGTCAATTTCAATGTCAGCAAATCGAACGATGGAGAACAATTGTGGGTTCATGTCATGCGAGAAGCTGGATCGGGTGGCCAATTGGTTGGGGACGAGTGTAGCCTCGGCGTTCTTCACCTCTCTGGAACGCTGCTCCTGCATAAACCTCAGCACCTCCCACGATGCCGACGACGATGAGAACGAGGAAGAGGCCAAGGACCGTCCTCTCATGCTCACAAAACCCATCTCCCATGACGACTCTGTCTCCACCCACAACAACACCCCCGATAAACTCTCTCATGTCTGAAAACACAATCTTCCTATATGTTTCTATGACTATGTATATCACATGGTTTGATTCTCTGGCCACATGTTTTCGGGTTTTTCTTTTGGGTTTGTTTCTTTGGTTATGTGTGATCGTTACCTGTTGTTTTGAACGACATGCGTACAATTTTGTAGAATATTGTGACTGATTATTAAAAATATAACGCTAATTTTGTGTTGTTGTGATGTTATCAACCTGAATTATTGTGGAATTGAGAATCTATTGATGAATTTGAGCTCAGTTCGGTAATGACATGAAATCGATCATCAATTCTGGAATATTTTTCCTTCCGAACCGTTACACAGAAATGGGGGAATTCTTTCTTCAGAGCGTAAAGAAATTATTCAATCTTTGGTGTTGTAGTTCAATTTCAATACTATGCTGGCTTGATTATTTGGTTGTAGTATTTTTGCTCCTTTCCATTTCTGACACGGTGGTTTTTGATAGTGGGAATTGTGTGTGAATTAGGGTTGTTAATTGAGTTTTGCGACCTCGGGCTTATCGAACAAGTTTAGAATCTCAAAAATTATTCAAGTTTCTTTTGTTTAGTAATAAGTTTTTAAATTATTTTTTAAACGAATCAAAAAAAATTGTTCAAGTTTAACTTATTTCCTGAAATGATCCCTCAAAAAAATTTTGCATGCCTGATATTTCGTGCTAAAGATGAGATTTGTTTTTTTGATTTTTGTGGGGGGAAACGGTTAAGGCGATTGCAAAATAGAAAGATATATTCAGGGCGGAGCTAAAAAATTATTTTAGGGTGGGCACACTAGTATGTTCTAATATTTTTTTAATAGACCGTAAAAGTTCATAAATTATATTTAATACTTTGTAAACATTGAAGATTAAAAATAGATATACTCATAAATAAAAAAATAATAATTAAAATTTCTTATCAAGAATACGACTAATTATTATTATTTATAATTGATTCCAGTATATTTTTATTATTCGAAAGTGTTACAAATTAATTTTATCAATAATATTTCTTTTATATATAAAATTACAATAACAATCTTCTATTTATAATCTTATAGTTTGTTACATAACGACACACATTTTTATATAATAATGAAATAACCCTATAATTTAAAAAAATTATAAAATAACATCAATAAATTCAAAACATATTCGAACATGTCTAAAAGTTAACAATTATATGAGTTGTATATAATTTGAGATTTAATTGATAGAGATTCAATGGTTTGTGACCATTTGATAGATAATAGAGTTTATTAAATATTAAGACTCACTATTATACTTAATATCGCAATGTATTATGTCATAAAATTAAGTTTTAATAACATTGTTAAAAAAGTTAACAATCATTTAAGTATGAGTTTATTTAAATCAATATCTCTAAAATATAATATTAGGGTGAACACAATTAAATATGGTAGGACAAAAATTTTGTTTTTAATGTTAGGCCACAAATTTTGTTTTTTAAATAGATTTGGGTGGATTGTGATAAGTCAAAATTTTAATTTTTTTAATAAATTTGGGTAGATAGTGATGGACTTAAATTTTTTTTGTTTTAAATGGACTTAATTTTTTAATTCTTTTGGATAAATTTGAGAGGGGAGTACTCCTCCGCCCCTGGTCATATATTCCAGATGAAAATTAGGGATAATTCCACTTTGTCTCTTGAAAGATACAAATTGTTTTACTTTGTCCCCCTTAAATGATTAATTTTTTCATATTACCCCTAAAAGATATTGAAAGGTTGCAATGCAGTCCATTGTTATTTTTTCGTTTGCCATCCGTTTGATTTTGTTATACGTGCGAAGCACGTGAGAAGAAGAGGGGTTGTATTGTAAAATAATTTTCAACGCAAACCCATGGACTTAGAGGGTTTTGGGTCTTATCACTCACCGGCGGAAATTGGCCGGAACAATACCGGCACAGTATTGGGTGATCTTGAGGAACATGGGCATGGCGAGGTCGAAGTGGGTTCGAGGAGGGTTGCACCACCCACCATTGTCATTTGGTAAAGCATAGTTGGGTGGACAAAAGTTGGTGGCGGTGCCAAAAATGGAGGGTCTTCCTGGGTTGCACCACCTTGGATCTTCGGCGCACTTGATCTCGAAACAAGCTCCGACCATTGTTGAAAAGGGCTGTGCTCAGTGCCGTCGTGTTTCCTCCGTAGCCTTGGCTGTACAGATTCCCATAACCACATGCTCCACCTGAACAAAGCAGCTAGCAATTACAACTGCAAGGGGGGGGGGGGGAATTGCTACACTCAAATGAAATTGGTCCTTAGTGGCTAGGCGTTTCGCAAACCATGGACGGCAATGGAACTAATCCCACTGGTGGTGCAGCCGGAAACTTGAAGAACGCGGTTATAGCATTTCGGGTTCCTCTTCCCTCCATTCTATTCTACCTCTCCTTCCTCCACAATTTTCATGATCATCCTATTATAACTGGTGATGGAGACTCTATCGCTTCTTTGTGGACATGGTGCTATAGCCACCCTCTACTGTTAGCCAACCTCCTTTTCTTACTCAACGTTAATGTGCTCTTCTAGACCATTGGTCTGATCCAATCTAGCCAATGACTTGGGTTGGGGTATTAGGCTCAGCCACAACTACTTCTCCTGTGCACAGAGTCTCTGTAATGGTTCGATACAGGGGAAGAAACAGAGCACAAAACAGAACAAAATTAGCTTCAGTGGGAACTAAATGGAGAGAGAGAGAGAGACGAAGTCGGTGGGTTTGCACAGAAAATGATTTTACAATACAGCCCCTATTCTCCTCACCTATCAAACGGATGACAAACAGAAATATAACGATGGATTTCATTGCAATCTTTTAATATCTTCCAGGGTAATATGAAAAAATTAATCATTTAAGAGGTAAAAGACAAAAATTTTGTAACTTTCAGGGGACAAAGTGGGATTTTCCCTTAAAATTAATGGCCGTAGGTGGGTGGAAGTTACTCCTCCATGTCTCAGGACTCGGGAGTTCATACATTTATGGTGTCTTGACCACTTCATTGTTCATGCCATTGCACAAACTGCTTACATAAGTGCGCTCAAAAAGCCTTAGCATTCTGATGTTCGTTACATCATCTTGAATGCTGGAACCTTCAACGCTACTTCTGATGAAAGTCATGTGAGCTGTAAATTTTCTCACTGCCATTGCTTCCAGGCTTCCACCATTCGTGTTGTCCAAATACCCTCCCTATGTTCCTAGGAAGAGCACTATGTCACCCTCCTTGTGATCTCTCGCAACTATGCCAGCCCATGAACACTTTGGGTTAAGTTATAGGGGAGTGAGTCGACAATGAACTTGATTCAACCTAAGGGGAGCGATTGCTTCAATGATTAGTGAACTTTACAGGTGACACAGCGTAATGTTTTGACCATGGCTGCTACTATTCTGCCTATATATGAATTCTCCCTCCCATTAGAGGGCTTCTTGTTGAGACTGTACACACTCACAGACACTAGAAAAAAAGTAGTTGGCCTTTAAATGAGAATATCTCTTTTTGTATTATTGCATTATAGTTTGAGGTGTTAATCGAGCTGGTCACATGTATAGAACTAACTGGGGTATTGGTCATGATGGCCTAAAAGCGATTTTGGAAGCTCATAAAAGTCCATTTTCGGGGGATCGGCTCAATTAACACCTCTAATTATAGTTATAGTTCTATTGTTTATCTTGAAGTGGTGTTTTGTAGGGTTGAGATATTTAAAGTTTCCCCAACAGTTTTGAGATGCATGCCAAACGTCACCTTCAATTCTAGAAGCCTTAATTGCGAAATCTCTATAGTACCGATACATAACAGATTAGAAGGTGTATTTTCACAACAATTTTGTGCGTATATATACATAGCTTGCGTGGTGGACTCTCCTAATGTTGATGAATTAGCTTAGAACCTACCAAGTTGAGATGACAATATATATATTATTATTCCCCACATAAGCATGTATAATGGGCTGGCATTCCTCTGGAGTTTAGTTTAGTAGGCCATGTACACTGTACATGTCTTGTTCATTAAAGTTGAGATTTTCTTAATTAATTGGAACTGTAACCTTGTTGCTTATTCGCCGAAGATTTTACCAACTCGTAGGTTAAAAGGTCAATTTTTGTTAACCCAAGAAATGATTTCACATGTCCTCCTCTATTCGGTTTTATTTTGTGCCTTTTTTAATCCTTTCTCGAGTTCTGCCTCATCTACTCATGGTATGAATATATTATTTTTCGGTATAATACTTTTAACTAAAATTGAGAAAGGGAGTCTTGATAATAGAACTACTTTAGCATTGGAAATTACGTCCCAGAAAGCAAAAGAAGACAAGGCATTCAGTGGATAGAGATTGGAGAAGTGTACTTAGTTGGCACAAATCTTAGCTGAAATCTTGCTGAAATCTGAAAGCTTGTCTTCTATTGGTGGTTTTGGTAAAAATTTCCAAAAGGTGATCCTATAACATTGTGGTTTGGTGTTATGTCATGGTCATTCATGGACTAAAGATAATTAGTGTAGCAGGTGACCACCTTAGTTCAGCACCAGTTTTGGTTAAATGCCACAAGTCACTCTTTCTTAGTGGTATTTCTTTCTCTAGGCCAATGAAAACACTAGTGACGTGATTAGCATCCCCTCAATTAGTCAAACTGCTGACCAATTTAGTGGGGCCATTGTATTTAAACCAGTTCTTGGATATAGATTCTTTTATCATATTTTTTCGTAATTTTTTTCAGTAATAAATCATTTCGATCCACTCAAGTACAATGGAGTTTATTTTCAAGACAAGGAATCTTCTATGAAGAGAAATTGAGAAAAAAAAAAATGTATTGGATGAATCTCACTCCTTTTCTCGAGCAACTGTGTATTGAATTGCCGACGGATGCCCCTACTATATGCATATTCCAAACTGAAGAATTCAAGTTGGTGACAAGTTCAGCTAACCAAGTTCCAACTGAAATTCATAGAAAATTCGAACTGTAAGTCTCTATCTTAAAATTCCAAGTTGATCTGGTGTCGGTAGGAGGATTCTCTATGGAAAGCATTTCAAATAACATCCTCTACCTGTTTGTTTTTAATCCACATACCGAATTTTCTGAAATCCTTTTAGCGAAGAAGAATCTAATGGATAGACACACATACAAATCCCTACAAATTTCAAACATGGGCATATTTATTTGCCATTTAAAATCATCAAAAAGCTGCAAATTATTTGATATTTTTTTTTGGTTTATCAGTCAAGGTGTTCGGGTCAATTTACGCGCACTTCGACTAATCATCTATCTGGTCAGGTCAACGACAATTTATCTACGTTGAGACTAAATTATTTATGAGGGATAAATTTCTCGTAGTCTAGTCTCAAGGGGTTGGATATTAATTGTATTTTAAACAAAATGCTGGCTTGGCTACGCGATATTCCAAAATATTGGGCATAAAAAGTAGTTAAAAAAAAAAAAACAAACAAAAATCTGAAGTCTCCGTTTGGCTCGAATTGGTTCTAAAAGGTTTGTTACGATAGAACCTTTTGTGTGATATGATTCATACATCATGTCTGCATATTGGAGCTGAACTTTCTCTGATGATTAGGTTCCCAAATGTGGTACTCTACAACTTGAGTTCAAGCCTTTGTGTTGGAAACTACCTTGCTCGAATAATTTCGATGACCACTAAAATAGCATTTGAATTCGATGAGGTCGTGCAAGCCAAAAATTTGTACAAGCCCGCTTTCTAACTTTCATCAAGTCCATCTGCCAAAGGAAAATGTTAGGTTTATGCTTTTTTTTGTAATTGTCTATACAAGACATGTGGCGCGAGTTTTAATACGGTTATGTTACTAAGCTGCGAAGATTTGCAAGATGGAATTTATCACAAACATGATCCAACTCTTAAATATTAGTCATGCAGAATTCCCATTTTTCATTCCCAGTTCTGATACCATTAGATTCCTTCAAATATCCAGCAGACTTTCATCTTTACTATGCCATAAAAACAATTCAATCGTGTTGAAGAAAATTTCATGATAGAGATATAAAATTGGTGATTTCCATTGTTCTCACCATCTAAAATACATATAGTGGAATTGAACATAGCATTTAACCTATAATCTTTATAGACAGATTGACCAAGATTCAGTAGTCTAATTGCACATGATCATTTTCTTCTGCCTTGAGCAGTTGAAGATACTCCTCATAAAGCTTCTCTAGAGTACCGTTGTAAGATGTAGGCAATTGAGATTGGCCTTCAAATGTTGAACCTTTAAGCAGATCATCATCTGGATCATGACTAATAAGTACATTAACCCCAATAACATTATCACTACACCATGGAACATTATTAACCTCTATACAAAGTTCTCCATCTCCTCCAAAGCTCGAACACCTGCTACCTGTATTCCAATCAAAGCTGCTGTTTCTTGACATAGAGAAACAACTAAAAGATGTAACCCTGACAGGCTTTGGGTGATGAATTGTGGTCTTTTGAGGCTCTGCATTGGTTTTGACCTTGTTGTTCTGGATTTTCTTGCTATTACTGGTTTTCATGTCCCTCTCTCTCTTCTTCTGTGGCTCCAACAATTTTTTGTTGGTATTTGGATCAGTTCCTTGGCTAATGAGCTTTCTACTGAGATGGGTGTTCCAATAATTTTTTATCTCGTTGTCTGTTCGACCTGGAAGTCTTCCTGCGATAAGAGACCATCGGTTGCCAAGAAGGCGATGCAATCTGATGATGAGATCATCTTCATCTGGGGTTATGTTCCCTCTCTTGATATCTGGTCTTAGATAGTTCATCCATCTTAGCCTGCAACTCTTCCCACATCTTAGTAGCCCTTCATTGCACAAAAAATCATGAACAACAACAACATATATGATCATAATCAGCCCTTCTTGATTGCTTTTGCCATTGTCACTTGTAAAACCAAAAATAATTGAATAGTGCAAAAAGAAAAAAGCTGCATGTATGTGGGGGCGAAGTGTGAGTGTGTGAGAGAGAGAGAGACAGAGAGAGAGAGTGAGAAATACCAGCTTTTTTAGGCAAAGATCTCCAATGGCCTTCACCATGAGCCTGAATGTACTTGGTAAGCAATGAGTCTTCTCTAGTAGTCCATGGACCTCTATGCAACCCAACCTTGGAACAACAAGGAGCCCTTCCCATCCCCAAGGTATCAGACTATCAGCAATGGCTGAGAGAGAAAGTGAGAGAATGAGACCAAGCAAAAGGGGCTGATACTCTCTTGGGGAGCACAAGAATTTCACGGCGTTGCCTCCCTTTTTATAGTAGTATGATCTGCTCTTTTACTGTCATTAATTTATACCCGGATCAAAACGACGTCATTGTGGGCCGGGCGTTCTTATATTTTCCCATTGATACAAGCAAGCAAATGCCATGCTAGAATCGATAATTTTAGATATGACTCTCCTAACCACCACAAAATTGACAAAAAGTTAATCAAGCTTTAGTTCATACTTATTGGATTTGGGTGGTAAAAAGTGCATCCATAGTCAAATAAACATGGTCTAAACGCGGCATAAACATGACACTATACGAACTATTTTTAGCCCTAGT